CCACAAGCTCTACTCACAGCATTTAATACTCTTCGTAATATGATATAATCTTTTTTGAGAAGCCCAGGAAAGATTAATGGAGAGCAATAGAGTACAATAGGTAAAATACAGGAGTTTAAAAATTGCAAAACTAAAGGTTGGTTGATACCTGATTGTCTTAACTTTTTAATGTAGAAGGTAAGACGAAACATTTTCTTAGAGATAGATAAGATATGGGATGACCATGAAAGGTCAGAGGAAAAAACTAATCCAAGGTATTTAATGCTTGATTTGGTTTCAATTTCCGTGCCATCTATGCTACAGGGATCATGCGAGTTAACTAGTTCAAGTAAGTCACGTCGATGCTTGAAAGTAAAGTCAAGCACCTGACATTTGGAAGGATTTAATATAAGACCATTTGACTTGGACCAGTTGTTGATGTCCAACAGAAAGCTATTAAGTTTGGAGCTGTCAGACTCGGAAGTGATAGGCAGTGATACAGTCAGATCATCTGCATATTTGACAAAGTTAGTTTCGTTTGAATGAGGCAGGTCATGTAGGAAGAAAGAAAAAAGAAAAGGAGAGAGGACAGCACCTTGTGGAACACCGGATTTTGTAAGCGAGGTAGAAGAAGATTTGCCGTTATATACAGTATACTGCATTCTATCAGAAAAATAGGAATGCAACCAACTCTTAGCCCAGGATCCTGTTTGTGTCAACGATAGCTTATTTAACAAAAGGCCCCTAGGTACAGAGTCAAAAGCAGATGTGTAGTCTAAGAAAGCACTACGAACATATTTAGCACCTTTGTCTAAACAAGAGACAACATTGTGATATAAGACAACCGCAGCATCCAAGGTACTTCTACCATGTTTGTATGCAAATTGTTTAGGATCATTAAAAGGTTTCAAAGCGGGTTCAAGACGAAGTAAAAGTAATTTTTCCATCAATTTTAAAAAGGGGGAAGTAATTGCAATAGGCCGAAATTTAATATCAGAACCAGAAGATGGTTTTGGTATAGGGATAATTTTAATGTTTTTCCATGCAAAAGGTAGAACGTTACCGGAAAAAGAGGCATTAAAAATGTTAGTAAGAGGATAACACAAAATATCAGCACAATTCCTGAGGACAATGGCAGGTATGCCGTCAGGACCAAGGCTTTGAGAAGGCTTAAGAGACCGGAGACATTTAAGCACATCAAGGGTATTAAAACCACTAAAGTTATTGTCAATATGATTTGTATCATTTGGAAGGGTATCAACAGAAGAGCGTATGAAAGATTTATTAAGAGTGTCAACATTAAGAGATGGAACAGAAATACATCGCTTACCGTTAGTAATTTCTTTGAAAAGTTTCCATAAATTAGAAGGGGTTTTACATGACAAAAATCTTTGATTATATAAAACATTTAGTCTTTTTATTTCCAGTTTTATCAGCATGTTTAACTTTTTTACACCAGGCTTATCATTAGTTTTGAACAACAGTTCTTTATTTCTACGTAGCTTTTTGAGATATGGCGAAGATAAGCGATCAAATCGAATGAATAATGTTTCTTTAGGACAACATATTTCGAAACAGAATTTAAGATAATCGGTAGTGTTTGTGATTGTTTCATCTAATGTTTGTTCTGTAAATAAGTCCCAGTTAGTGTCTTTCAACATGCATCTGAGCTTGTCTAGGTTGTCTTTTGAGTAGCATCTCCGTTGAACTTTACTGTAGAGGTGAGAGAGGACACCTTTGTGTGATTTGGAATATATTTTAGGCAGTACACGTATGATGCAGTGGTCAGAATTAAGTAAAGGAGCACGTTTGCGAGCTTCATATATACCAACATCATTGATAAATACTAGATCCAGTTTTTTACCAAGACGGGTGGCAAAGTTAACAATATTGTCATGACCAAGTGATATAAGGAAGGAGCAATCGCTTCCATTGAAGTCGCCAGTTACTATTGATAAAGAGTTCTCGAAACAAGCTGCAGCAAAAGCGGTGAATTCATCGGCGAACATAGATAAATCCAATATGGTACAGCCAGGAGAGACATAAGCTCATCATGAAATAGCTAATTTGTGAAGGGAAACAGGTGGAGGCATATATTGAGAAAAGGGATAACATCACCAATAATGAGTCCAGATAGTATAAGTGGAAAATTCGATAGTATTGAGAGAATGTTTGAATGAAGGGTATAAATTATGACGAATAATAATGATAATCATTGTAATAATAAGCAAAGTACAAAGCACAAAAATAAAGCAGGGCGTTAAGGCAAATAGGTACCTTTGGTGAGAAGAAGAATCATCAATCCAGTTTTGACCACGGAAAGAACAGCGTCTGAACGTGTTCTTTTTGAATAAACAAATTCCTGTTTAAGTCAATCGTATGACAACACCTTCAGCTGTGTGTGGGAGACGTAAGCGAACTGTACGTGATAACGACTTCGGAATTCCATATATAACCCTGAAGGATTTGTTGGCATCGATGCGATGTCCGGTATTGACCAAATGTGACGCAATCGAACTTTTTAATTTCCCCCTTACTGAACCTGTGGTGAGAGCAGCCTGCTAGCCAATTGATTGACATTAATCTACGTCAATGTCTAGGTCACTAATATGGGCCGTGAGAAAATATGAACAAGGCTGTTTCAACAACCAATCACAGCAAACTTAAACGTGGGCAAATATGATTCGCAGATAGATGGCTCCACTTTCCGAGAAACTCGAAAACAACCAATCAGAAGACTGCGTTTGTCTTCTTGACTAGGCTATAATAATGTATGTGAAATTTATATAAATACGTGTTGATTTCCGTAATAAAACGATCTGTTGCCTGGCCCTTGTCTTCTGTTGTTACAAACCAAGCAGGTCAATGTTCTCAAATCCGCAGACATACCTGCGGAGTCCTATGTCACATAAAACTTGAACCAAAGGTATAGTCATGAGCAAAAGCTAAAGTAAGACATCATCCAGTTTTTGATGAACATTGGATGGCTATTGAAAGATAGGAACACACGTACAAAGTATCAAGTCTTCCTTATCGTTGCGTTTAGACGATGGGATAGAATCTCCTTAGGACTATCTCCCTTGAATTGTAGACTCAAAAATATGGTGGCTAATTTCCTACGATTGCTACTTCATGTTTGTGACTATCATAACTTATGTGGGCTGTAACACACTTATCTGCGAGCGTCAGCGGCACAGTGGTTAGGGCTCTCGCCAACCATACAGGTGGTCCGAGTTTCGATCCCCTGCCGACGCACACTTCATATCTATGGTCGGCCTACAAAATTCGGGCTACCGATATCCATGCTAAAAATTTCATACTTGTACCAAAAATACAATGTGGAATCAAGCTGTAATCAAAAACAAAAATAAAAATAATCTGGATATCCATTTTCTAGTTTTGGTTTTTGTAGGAATTTTGTTTGATTGATTGGAGGACTTCATGGGCTGACATCGGTAAGAGAACCATTGGAAAACCACGAGGGAATACTGGGCAACCGCTCCGTCCTAGTTTGGGACTCTTCGCAGTACCCATCCACTGGGATTTGAACCTAGGACCTTCTGGTTACAAGGCAAGCTCGTAGACCAATAAGTCGATGGCCCATGAATTCTAGCCAGAAGGACCTGCGTTCAAACCCTGGTGATGGGTGTATACTGACGAAGAGTTCAAAACTACGCTGACGAAACATGCGTTCAGTACTCCTTGTTGGTTTTCCAGTGGTTCTCATGATGAAATCCTGCAGCCAATATCCGTTTTCTTTTAGAATATCTAGGATCACCTGAAGTTATTTCTCTACACAGTCTACACTATATGTGCATATCTATAGGCGGCCAACTTAAGACTTGAGCTACCGAAAGCCTCTATCAATATAGATGGATAGCAGTTTATCTCTATTCATGAGATTGACCATTCCTGATTGATGTGCATGGTTCACGAAATGTACTCCTAAATCTTTTTTAAATGTCGTTCAGCCAAATGTCGCAATTACCTCGAAGAAGAAAGAGATGTCACATGATGGATCAGTTCGCGCTTCAGGTCAGATAGAAAGAACTGTGTCACACCATCTGCTGTCGATTATTCTTCTGTTTGAAGATCATGGACGAAAAGAAAATATTATGTAACAAACTCTAGTGAAAATTCTGTACATTATATCTATATTGTTTCAGAATGAAGGTGTTCCCATTATTATTATTACTATTATAACTGCAGTAGCCAAGTGGAGAAGTTATCGAAAAAATCTTCCTCGTCCAAACTTTCTTTCTTTATTTTCAAAATTCTTGGACTTGTATTTTCTGAAGTTTGATGAAAATCTCTCCGACAACACCATATATATGCTTCGTGGCCAAAATTTTGAACCCCTTAATTGGTGAATGGTGACTCGCAACGAAATCCACCAGGATGCTCATTTCGTCCTATTTAGGACTCGTAAGTTAATTGGATGTACCTGCATTCCACAGTGAGTGATGATGTTCTCATCGAGGCACGAACCCAGCGCCAAAGCGTTATCTACTAGACCGCTTGGGCCACGAGAACCACCTCTTAGGCAACAGGTCATATGAATTATTTAATTCAATTCTAGATTTTCTCGTCGATTCATCGGACCGAAGTTCTTGGTGTCAGGTTGAGATGTTGGCTTAATGTGATCAAGTGGATAATGCTTTGGAGTTTGAAACTATAGGCACTGGTTTCAAGCCTCGTGGGGAACATCATCACTCACTGCGGAATACAAGTACACCCAGCTGACGAGCCCAGAGCACGGTGAAATGCGCATCCTTGATTCCACTGCTTGTCACCATCTACCAATCAACTTCTAACTACATACCCAGACATCGTTGAAGTATCTGTACAAGCACTTCAATCCAGTCAATCGATAGGAAAATTTAAAATTGAATTAAATGAAACTCTAGACCTCTAGGTCAAAAATCAACCCTTCGCTCAATTTACACTGTACCCCCACCCCCATTCCCGACTAAACTCAACTTTCGAAATCTAATCTAATTTCAGCTTTACATTCTATCCATATGATAACATTTTATAGATCTCTAAAGTATGTCAGAGTATGGGATTGTCGCTTGTCTTCTATTATATCACTGTAACGAAATTTCTATATGTGGATTGATGGTCTTTCTCTGTTATTTCTCATTCGTTTTACTTTCATCATTGCTCATCGAAAAACAAGTAAACAAACCAGACAAACAAACAAGCGAACAGGCAAAACTTGAGCAGAAATATCTGTAGAAAAATAAAAACGTAAAACTCTCTCTCTCCCAATCTGCCTCTCTCTCTGTATCTATCGATGAGAAGGAAAAGAATGTGAAGTCTAAACACACTAAATGTGAACAATTTTCATCATTACTATTATCGATATTTCAACCAATCAGAAATTGAGTTTTGTAGGATAAGAGGCATACAGAGCAACATAACAAAACACTTTTCATTCTTTCCAATAAGCTTTTGGTGTGTGTGTGTGTGTGTGTGTGTGTGGAGGGGGAATGTTTGAGTATTTCTCGGCTAATCAATAAATAAGGTCATTTTAGATAGGAGAAATATGTATATATAGATGAAGAATAAGAAATAGTGATGAAGATTTGATTTGTGGTTAAAAGGTATATATATTGTATAAATATTTCTACTACGGACATTTACCACACAAAATACAGGAGTTCTCAGTTGTATAACATTGATAGTAAGTACTTGTTTTTATTATGTAATTATTGATTTTCCTTTTGATTGGACACTAGTCAGTAACTTGTGTCATGTGACTAGTCCTATCAGTCAAGCTTTTAATGTGGCCACCATTCCATTAAGTGGTTCGCCATGACGGTGCACTGTGAATCGTTGGTTGGTATTATATGTTTGGAGGTAATTGGCCAAAGGAAGGCCAGCCTGCTGACCTAGGTTTCGTGGTAGCTGGCACTTACCAGTCACCGAGGCGTATCTGCAACCTCGAAGGAACTCATATCCCTGTTTCTGAGAGTCAATCGTGAGCCTGAATAGTTAGCCCAGTGGTAACATCTCTGACTGCAGCAATGCACTGGGGGACGCGGGTTTAAATCTCAAAAGGGAGGGACATGGGTTGCCTCGAGGTTGCAGATACGCCTTACTGATTGGTAAGTGCCAACCATCACGAAACCTAGGTCCAAGGTTTGGCTTCCTGTGGCCGATTACCTCCAGCCATCTAATACCAACAATTTATTGATATTTACAATAAGTAAGAGTTGGTCTGTGTAGCATGTTAATTATTATTCATGAGTATTTTGGGAATTACTTTTCACTGAATTAACCCAGTTAGATTAATCCTCTGTGGAGTAATATTGGATTGTAAATACTGAACTTTGTGGGAGTAAAAAGCATTGCGACATGGAAAACAACCTAATCTTATGTCGGCTGACATTCCTCGTCCAGGATGGTGACGCAGCACGTTTTTAAGGTATGTTAACCGATGTAGCTTCACAATCTTATCGACTGACTAACCCATCTTATCTAACACTCTACGCCTAACCTCAATATTACTCATTATATTATACCACTTAATACGGGAGAAGTGTAGGAATGGTATTCACAGATTACCGAGTACGTTTTCTAAATTGCAAAGAGTACTGATGAATTTCTGTAGGCTAATAAGCGTTTACTGCCAGGTAACTGTGTTAGTAAATTAAAAGAGACAATTAACTTTGGCTTTTTGAGCTGAATGTAACTAGCTACAACGTCGATTAGCTCAGGGGTAGAGAGTAGGGCTTCAAGCTTTAGCTCAGAAGGTGTAACTTCACTAGCACAGTATTTACAGGGTGAGGTTGCCAGCATCATGCCAAAGCTTCGGTCTATTGCCAGCTACACGAGGTTTAAAAGTGCGTCGGCCTAGAATACAACTAGGCCTACGTGAGCGATTGGCGAATATTTGGCCACTAAACCGCCGATTCATCCTGCATAATTAATGAATGAAGAATTCGATTCGTCTTAAGGACAGTAAAGATTCATCCATAATTCCCATTGTAACATATAGAAAATCGGAATGAGTGATTCAGCCAAGAGACTCTTTTCAGTGACAAATTCATTATCAAACTGTACAATCATATATATATGTTGCTTTTAAGAAATTATATCCGGTGAGGGAATTAGGTCAAAGGTGTGAATACATGAAATTATAATAGTAGTATGAAATGCAATTAAAAAACTAAAATGTTTGTGATCATAATCATAGTTAAATGTCAAGTGGCAAAACAAATTAATGTCATGAAGAAAATAAAAGACAGATCCAACGAAGAAAATTTTCTTTATGTCATAAATAGAATAGTTCATAAGGTGTATAGATGTTGGAAAGGGGTGCATAATTATAGGATTAGTAGGCTAATATAAAATGTTACATAACATGATGTGAAATTTGATAATACATTATTCAATATTGTAAAAAAAAATAATAATTTTGGATTTAGAATGACAGGTGGGACAAACAGAAGCAATTCAGAGTCAGAATATTAATAATAATAATGATAATAATCGTAGTAATTAGGGAAAGGTACATAGAATAACCAAATAAACATAATAAATAAATGTTTATCCCTCTACGGCCAAAGCACAAGTAGGGATTGTATGTATTTCTTTGTACACAAAGGTCTGGATTAAATTCACGAATGGTCAAGGCCTCAGATGTTTTTAGAAGTCTATAACGCAGAAAACACGGTTGGCAAGTTAGCATGGATTCTGTAGATGATCTCAAAATCATGATTAGTGTTGGTAGAGTGACAGGAGTCGGTGAAGTGTTCTAGGATAGAGCTCCACACATACTCCCTTTCTCCCCTGGAAAAGCATGCTGTTGGAATGCGTTCTTGTATCCATGCGGAAGGCGTCCTCTGGCTACGGCCAATGTGCCTTGCTCCACAAGAGGAGCAGGTGAACTGATAGATACACATGGAGGTGGCTAGACGAGGGAGCTTATCTTTTACAGAGATGGAGAACAACTTGTGTCTGGTGAACGTTATTTGTAATTTTGCTGCAAGAACGTCTTGCTGACTGATTTAGAGAGACGGTTTTTGAGCATATCCGAAGCTTGATCACCTTTGAATTCCAAGATTATGAATAAAGTTTTCTTAGGAACTTAGTCGGTGACCAGTTTAGACTGCTTATCTTTCGTGTTACTGTCAATATATTGGTTCGGGTAGGAAGTCAAGTTCTGAGTCAACACAATCAGAACTACAAATGTGTCTTATCCTAAAGCAGGGCGAATGAATTAAGTTCCTTTTCCTGGAGATAGGCACCCAACTATAAAATTTAGTTAGTTGTCCGTTCCATGTACATTTCCGGTAGATGGATGTTTTGAGGGATCTGTCATTACGTCTACTAAGGCACACATCAAGAAACAGAATACTAAAGATCAGATTCCTATTCAATGGTGAATTGTAAAGAAGAATGGCAGTTGTTGAAAGCACACAAGACATCAGCAAGAATTACGTTATTATCGCAGATAACGAGAGTGTCGTCTACGTATATTCTATAAATGTAAAAATGATCGATGATTTTACTAAGTTTAGAGTTTTCAAGCTTTGCCATAAAACAATCAGCCAGCCAGCAAAGGACCCAGTGGTGATCCCATTCCAGTGCCACCTCTCTGTCTAAAGATCTCATTATTGAAGGTGAAGTGAATATTCAGCGTGCATTTCAATAAAATTTCTTTGAGGTAGACTATCGGCAACCTTGTTTCTAAACTATTTGTATCAATATAATCACATATATAGCAAACAGTTTCCATGAAAGAAACATTGATAAATAGCGAAGACACACCTAATGAGAACATGACTTTTTCTGAGACATTAAAATCTTTAATACTGTCAATAAATTTAAATGTTTCATCCATTGAAAAGCTTGATAATAAATTCGTTGAAAAGAGTCTCTTCGCTGAATATTCCGTTATTAATTAAATTCAATTTCAACTTTCATTTTGATTGATTCGACCGATGTGCTAGCTAGACCTCAGGTTGACATATCGCCTCTTTGTGCAGATGCTTCGAAGATGTCTGATTATTTAACCTGAAGTAAATTGATGCATGGTGACTGGCGGTGGAATCCACCAGGATTTGCATTACATACCACTATATGGGACTCATCCACCAGCTGGATGTATCTGTATTCTTCGGTAAGTGAGTGACTGATGGTCTTCAGTGGGGAAAACGAAATGCGCAGTCTGGATTCCATGGCTAGTCACCATCCACTAATTTAACTCAAGCTTAACTTCTGTAATCAGTATGGAATTATTATAAATCTTTTTTAAATATCAAAATATTTAGGTCAGTATTTATCAGTATAGTGACCTATATTTTGATTTCTATTCGGCATACTTCTCTCCCATTTTAGTGTTTGACAATCGTTCATCTCATTCGCTTGATTTAAATGGCATTAACTTTCATGAATCACTGACCTCACTTTCTGATAAATCACTTTTATAAGTAATCCTGACAATTTTGACACTGACTTACATAGATTTCATTAATCCTCCGGTGCTTATATTCCCTTCTACTTGACCTAACGCTATTCCTAAAGAAATTATATTATTAATACATCTTAAAATTATCTATAGTTGGTTTTTTTAAGGATTAGTTTTATTTATACGAGTTGATCACCGATTGATTTCAGTTAGAGAACCAGTGAAAACCAAGGACGACTGGTTTTTGGGGAATCATCGGCAATACTCCCCCACCCCGCCAGGGTTCGAACCCAAGACCTTCCGGTCACAATGCAAGCTAGTTTGTATACCACTCAGCCACTAGAACATGATTCCTCAATGACCAGTACATGAATTCTAACTTCTACTAATTGGTGATTTGTCGCGTCTGTGGGATATCCATCCTCACTGGTCACGACTTCTCACTAGAACTCTAGGAAACTCTGTCCTGTAGCAAGTCACTGGCTAGCATCAGATTAATTTTTAAGAGTTGGTTTGTGAGGGTTAGATTTGTTTCTTGGGTTCGAACCCTGGCAGTGGGTGCGTACTGCCGATGACTTCCAAACTAGGATGAAAAAGCCGTCCAGTACTCATTGCCTGGTATCAATGGTTCTCTAACTGACATAAATCCCTGATCAACTCGTAAAAACATCTTAATATTAATAGATTTTGATTTAAGATAGATTCTATTGGTTTATTTTGAGCCTGTTTAAGATCATAACCTAAGATATATTATCTATTTCATTAGTTTGCATCATAGATTTCCTGTGATAAGTGATATGATCAATTTACTTCAGAAGACAGTCGAATGGACTGTTGGTAAACAGTCTTATCTTTGATTCTTAAGTGTTAATTGAATTTTACTAATCCATAAAAAACCAAATAGTTGAGCAAAGAATATCCTTTTCGATAATTTCCTCTACTGGCTCTACAGTTGCATATATGTTTATATACATAGAATATTCTAGATTAGTAGACATTAACAATAGTGATGTTTTTAAAATAATATCGATTTGTAAAGTAAAATCAATGGAATTACAGTTCACGAAAGATGCGAAAATTATAATAAGCATAAAAATGCAATGGCAAATAGAATATCAAATAAAATTATGGAAATTTCTACAACAAACTGAGGATCATTCGAACCTAGGTGACCAAGAAAAGGACAATGTCTGAAACAAATTCTTCTTTTGGATACATAAGTTAGGCTTCTTAATGTGGATTCCAACAGCCAGCCTCAACAATATGTG